CCTCCAGCAGCACCGGCGACTCAAACATGAGGGTGTGAAGCCACATCAGTGCCCTTTCTGTGATTTTTCTACTACTAGACGGTACCGGTTAGAGGCCCACCAGTCTCGACACACGGGTGTCGGCCGCATCCCTTGCAGCTCCTGCCCACAGACATTTGGCACCAACTCAAAACTGCGTTTGCACCAACTGCGAGTACATGACAAAACACCCACCCACTTCTGTCCACTCTGTGACTATAGTGGATATCTTCGTCATGACATCACTCGCCATGTCAACAGCTGCCACCAAGGCACCCCATCCTTTTCCTGCTCTCAGTGTGAGGCCCAGTTTAGCTCAGAAACAGCACTGAAGCAGCACGCTCTGCGCCGCCACCCCGAACCTGCACACCCATCCCCTGGCTGTCCTGTAGAGGCCACTGAGGGCCCCTTGCACTGTTCCCACTGTGGCCTGCTCTGCCCCAGTCCTGCCAGCCTACGAGGACACACCCGCAAACAGCACCCAAGGCTGGAGTGTGGAGCCTGCCAGGAGGCCTTCCCTAGCCGGCCAGCGCTGGATGAGCATCGGAGGCAGCACCATTTCAGTCACCGCTGCCAGCTCTGCAACTTTGCTGCCCGGGAGCGAGTAGGCCTGGTGAAGCACTATCTGGACCAGCATGAGGAGACTTCAGCGGCCGCCTCAGGTGGGGATGGGGATGCTGGCCAGCCCTCTCTCTGTTGCCCTTTCTGTGACTTTTCATGTCGCCATCAATTGGTACTGGATCACCATGTAAAGGGACATGGAGGCACCCGGCTCTACAAGTGTACTGACTGTGCCTACAGCACCAAAAATCGGCAGAAGATCACTTGGCACAGCCGTATTCACACGGGGGAAAAGCCTTACCGCTGTCACCTCTGCTCCTATGCCTGTGCTGACCCTTCTCGCCTCAAGGTAGGCTCTGGGTTCTGTAACTTTTTTTTTTTTTTGGTGTGTGTGTGTATATGTGTATGTATGTGTATCACATGTGAGCCTGGTGCCTGTAGAGCCAGAAGAGGTGTTGGATCCTCTAGAACTAGAATTAAGGACATTTGTGAGCTGCTATGTGGGTGCTGGAAACTAAACCCTGGTTCTCTGGAAGAACAACCAGTGCCCTTAATTGCTAAGTCAGTTATCAAGTATCCTGGATTCTGTAACCTTAACAATTACACATACTCACTTGTGACTCTGGATAGGTCCCTTAACTTCTCAAAACTTAAGAGATTCCTTATCTGTAAAAGGGATAACACAGGGGCTGAAGAAATGGCTCAGTGGTTAAGAACACTGACTTCTTCCAGAGGTTTTGAGATCAGTTCCCAGCAGCCACATGGTGGCTCACAACCATCTGTAATGAGATCTGACACCCTCTTCTTACCTGCAGGCATGAACACTGTATACATAATAGATAAATAAATCTTTAAAAAAGAGGGGGGAAATAATACAACTCTATGCACTTTCGTTTTTTTGTTTTGTTTTGTTTTTTTTTTTTGATTTTTCGAGACAGGGTTTCTCCGTAGCTTTTGGTTCCTGTCCTGGAACTAGCTCTTGTAGACCAGGCTGGCCTCGAACTCCCAGAGATCCGCCTGCCTCTGCCTCCCGAGTACTGGGATTAAAGGCATGTACCACCACTGCCCGGCTCTATGCACTTTCGTAAAGATAAATTCCATAACTGTTTGCAATGTGATAAGAGTATTTAATACTTTGAGAATAATCTGGGTATTAACAGTTAACATTTATTGACCACTTATTTTTATGCCTAGTACTCCAATTTTAATCATTTGAAAATACAACATGGGTCACTGGCTAGGGAACTCAGTAATAAGAATACTTAATATGCATATATTAAGTATTAATAGTCTCCCAATCACATACATACACACAAAGAGATAGATACTTGTACCTGTGTTACAGATTATTAAACAGAATTAGGGGTTAGCTTACCCCACAGCATAGCTAGTAAGAAACAACTGAGCCCTGGGGGAAGCTTCCTGTCATGGGGAGGAAACATTTGCATTTGCTCTTCCTTCCAGTACCACATGCGGATCCATAAGGAGGAACGGAAGTACCTGTGCCCTGAGTGTGGGTACAAGTGCAAGTGGGTCAACCAACTCAAATACCACATGACCAAGCACACAGGTAAGTGTGTGTGTCGATTCACTGTCTTGCTTAAATGGTTTCCCTCTTCTCTGACAAACTTAACCTCCATGAGATGTTGGGTGTCCTCACTCAGAGCCTACATCAGTTTTCACCCTGGGAATAGGGACCACACAGGAAGAAGACATACTTCTGGTTCGCCAGCCCAATGAAATGTGTTAGACACCAAAGAAAGGGTAAACCTGAAGGCCTGGGCAAGTGTATTTGCAAAAGCTTTCCTGGTGATTATGATACAAGTTCACCCACACAGAGACTCTCCAACTCAGTTTGACTACTGAGAGATACTTGGTTTCTGTGTGAATGTGGTAGAATGATTATAAGTGAGGAGAAAGGTGAGAGCTCCCTCCCCCCACACACTTTTTTTTAAAATGTGCATTGTCTACATGTCTGTCTGTGAGGATGCCAGATACTCTGGAACTGGAGTTACGGATGCTTGTGAGCTGCCATGTGGGTGCTGGGAATGAAACCCTGAACCTATGGAAGATCAGTCAATGCTCTTAACTACTGGGCCATCTTTCCAGCCCTAAGTTCTGTATTTTTAATTTGTCTTTCCTCTCTAGTGTGTGGAATTCACAAATCATGGGTTCTCTGTAGAAGATTAATGATGGGGTACCTTTGATTGTGGCATATGCTTCCACTATATATGGAGTATCTTTATCTTTTTTTTTTTTGAACATTTTTTCTTTGTTTTTTTGTTTTTGTTTTGTTTTGTTTTTTGAGACAGGCGTTCTGTGTATGACCCTGGCTGTCCTCAAACTTACATAATCAGCCTGCCTCTGCCTCACAAGTGCTAGGATTAAAATCATGTGCCACCACCACTGGTTAGTTTCTCTTATATTTTTTTAGTTTGATAAGAAAGTGTAATTACTGAGCCAGGCAGTGGTAGCGCACGCCTTTAATCCCAGCACTCAGCAGGCAGATCTCTGTGAGTTCAAGGGCAGCCTGGTCTAGTTCCAGGACAGGCACCAAAGCTATTATAGAGAAACCTTGTCTTGAAAAAACCAAAAAGAACTAAAAAAAAAAAAAAAAGAAAGAAAAAAGAAAAAGAGAAAAAGAAAAAAAAGTGTATCTAGGGGACTGGAGAGATGGGTCAAGCATTATTAAGAGCACTGGCTGGTACTCCAGAGGACCCGAGTTCAATACCCAGCACCCACAGGGCCTCTCACAGCTTCCTGTCACTCCAGTTCCAGGGCATCTGACATCTCACACTAATGCAAATAAAAGAAAGTTAAAAAATTAAAAAAAAAAAAGTTTTAAATTTAAAAAAAAAGTGTCCCAACGGAGTCTCTAAGTTCTATAGTGTCACATGACCAAGAAGTGTTGGAATTTCCCATTTAATAACCCTGTCATAATTGAGTATTCTTTACTATAAGGAAGACTAGTTGGCTAGAAGTTCAGTTGGTCATCAGCATCCACTGGGACCTGTGTATCCCAGTGGACTCAGTGGAGAAGGGCACTGAAATGTCAGAAAAGGACGGTCATTAGCTTGTGCTGTGTTCTTTATTTCCAGGTGTCATACTGACTTTATGAGCCTCTGATCCTTGTTCTTCCCTCTTTGTGGTTGTGTGTGTTTGTCCTATAGGACTGAAGCCATACCAGTGTCCCGAGTGTGAGTATTGCACCAACCGGGCTGATGCGCTACGTGTACACCGGGAGACACGACACCGAGAGGCACGGGCTTTCATGTGTGAGCAGTGTGGCAAGGCATTCAAGACGCGCTTCCTGCTGCGCACCCATCTACGCAAGCACAGTGAGGCCAAACCCTATGTTTGCAATGTTTGCCATCGTGCTTTCCGCTGGGCTGCTGGCCTGCGACATCATGCCCTTACCCATACCGACCGCCACCCATTCTTCTGCCGCCTCTGCAGCTACAAAGCCAAGCAAAAGTTCCAGGTGGTCAAGCACGTGCGCAGGCACCACCCTGACCAGGCCGACCCCAGCCAGGGCGTGGGCAAGGACCCCACTACTCCCACAGTGCACCTACATGATGTGAAGCTGGAAGATCCTAGCCCTCCTGCTCCTCCTGCTCTTCCAACTGGACCTGAAGGCTGAACCCCTACCCCACCTCTGGCTTAGGAAGAACATATAGTCCAAGATATGCAAACTGGGACTGTAGCTAACCTGAGTTTAGGGCCTGAGGGAGGGCTGGCTTTGGGATGTTAGTGTGGCTGGAACACACTCCCCCCGCTTGGGACTCTGGCCTTTAAAATTAACAACTATAAAAAAGATAGGCTTGGACTAAAACGATTTCTTAAGTAGCACTATGGTTTTAGCCTGTGCCTAGATCTCCAGTCTACCATTGTTGCACCAGAGCCCCTGGCTATAAGGGCTCTGTTTTATTCACTCCATCATCTCTTCCTTCTTACAGTTTCAAGTCTGATTTTCTTCCAGCATTTCTGAACATTTGTACCTAATTGCATGTGTCCCTGTGTCTGCTGCTCTGTAAGCATGTGAAACAGATGATTATCAGTTAACAGACGTGTCTGGATCCCTGTTCTGTCATTCCTAGGTTGTCATCAGGGTTTGCCCTGTCTTCTCCCAGGCCTCTCCTGTGCCCTTCCTATGCAGCACATGGAGGAGAGCCCTTGGGAACCTTGTTTCTCCGCATGCTCCCCCGCCCCCGCCACACACACACACACACACACAGTGACAGCCCATACATCCACCTGATTACCCAAATGCTGCCCCACCCCCACCCATACATCCCATTCTTGCCTAACAATGACAGACCATACAGGAGCCAGATTAGGCAGAACAGCTCTATTTAGACCAGCTAAGGAGCAGCAGTCCAGTGGGGTCTCAGGGCTGTGTATTGTTCTCATAGTTCTGGGGTCAGGCATCCTTCCCCAACCTTTGGGAGCCTTGATCCTTGATTGATCCTTTTGTTGGCTCTGGATTTTGAGAGACTTGTAGGTTGGAGGGGATAATGCTTCTATAGATTTTTCTGCTTTGAGTCCCTCCTCGTGTTTCTAGTCAGAGATAATGGGAAAAATTAACAGAAGATCTGAGGATGGGTCTTGCCTAGGGCAAGAATAAGGAGGGAATTCCAGTACAGAGTGCACAACAGTAAATGGCAGGAAAGACTAGATGAAAGATCAGGTCCTAGGCGGCTGGGGAGATGGCTCAATGGTTAAAAGCACTGACTGCTCTTTCAGAGGACCTAGGTTCAAATCCCAGAACCCAAACGGCAGCTTACAACTGTCTGTAACTCAGGGGACCAGACACCTATCAGAAACACCAGTGCACATAAAAAAGTCCTAGATTTGCTTAAGAAGGGCAAAGTATACTGGGGATAGTAGCTCATGCCTTTAATCTCAGCATTCTGGAGGCAGAGGTAGATGGATCTCTTGAGTTTGAGGCCAGCCAGAGCTACATAGTGAGACCCTGTCTTAGGGGAAAAGTGGGGAAGGGGGTGAGGCAATTTCGTGCCTTGATGTCTGTCTACTCTTGCTGTGGAATACCCACCTCAGGATTCATCCTCCTCCAAGGCTTCCCGCATGCAGATATACACAAAGATGGAAGCTGGGTGGAGGCTAGTGCCATCCCTGGAGAGCAAGGATATGTGTCGGTAACCTGGAAATGGGCAGAAGGACTGTGTTAGGAGCCAGAGTTGGGATATTGGCCAAGAGTCCAAGGACTGCCTCACCTTGTTTCATGCAGGTCCAGGGCAGGGTGTATTGACCAATAAACTTATTCCGGGATGTCCAGTTATAATCCTTTACCACAAAACGCAGTATAGCAAGTTCAGGCACCTGGACCCGGAAACAGAATGTCTGCCCCCAGTATGGATTAAAACCTGAAGTGGAGATAGGAATTAGACCATACTTAGTTGCTTTCCCAGAATTCTCATTTAATCTAGATTGCTAGTCAGTATTTTGCAAGTGACTCAGGTGTAACACGCAGAAGCAGGGGCTAGACAAAATGGCTCAGTAGTTAATAGCACTTGATCCTTTTCCAGTGGACCTGAGTTCAGTTCCCAGAACCTACATCTGATGGATCACAGCTGCCTATAACCCAGTACAGGGAATCTGATACCCTCTTGGCCTCTGTGGACACACACAGGTGGCACACGCACACACATAAATAAAAATCTTTTTAAAAGCATAAGGACTTTTCCCAATTCACAAACCTATAAGGGAGAGCCAGGATTTCCCAGACTGTCTTCAACGAGAGTGCAGGCTCACACAGACTGCACCAAATGAAGGACAGGCTGGAGAGGAATTGGCATTCTGGTCCCACACTTCCCATGCCCAGTCTCACCGTTGTTCTCCACATAGCTGGTTTCTTGCTGCCTATTGTCTTCAGGGACACCAAAGAGCTCAACCTTCACCAGTGGATCCACCACGGACTTCTCTTTGGTGCTGTCCACTTTGGGGAGCTGTTGGCCGCTGATGACCTGCAACCAGGGCACTGGAACTTCATGAGACCCTGCTCAGCCCAGCCTTCCCTCTCCCAGCCTCACCCTTGGGAAAACAGGAACGGCACTATAGCTTCATAGTTTGCAAAACTAATCCCGCAGAGATGGCATATTCTAGTTTCTGCCCTGAGATTTTAAGTGAGTCAAGAGGCTTGAAAGTAGGCACACTGATGACAACAGCCTCTTCTATAGCATGAGTGTGCACCAGGGGTTGTAACACTTTCAACAGGTAGTCCTCACAACCCTGTGATGCAGGTGAGTTTACTTAGGTGACAAAGAACTTGCCTAAAGTTGCATGACTAAAAAGTGATTTGAAACTAGGCAGTTGACTCTGACGTCTGCAACTGAATCAGGCTAGCCTCCCTCTTCTGAAAAAAAATTATTTTATATGGCTATTTATTCATCTATTTGAGTCTGTCTCACTGTGTAGCTCAGGCCTAGGATTAAAGGTGTGTGCTATCACTCCTAGCAAAGAATTTTTAACCAATTACATGCCTGTCAACTTGAGCCAGCACAACTCCCTGTCATAGGCACACATGCTCCTATTCCAACTATTACAGGTTCTTCCCAACAGTTTCTGTCATACCTGGACTAAGAGGAGCTTGGCCTTATAAAGACTAATGGGCCTCTCAGGATCAAAGGAACTCTGGATATCACACAGGAATTCTGGCTTCAGCACGTAGCCAGAGCCACCATTCTGGCGGAAGAACCCATCACAGATATCCATGGCACTCCCTGGAGTCTGCATATTCATTGCCACTGAGAATCCCAAGAAAAAAAAAGAAAAAGTCACTCTGGGGCCTGGGTGTGATGATACAGGTAAACTCGGGAGGCAGGGGCAAGAGGACTCCCATAACACCATCCTAATTTACACAGCAAGGTCTAGGCCAGCCAGGGCTACAGACCCAGTTTCTCCCCTTCCCCACTCCCTCCCCACCCCATACACATGCACACACCAAGGTGCATGTGTATTACATGTGTGCATGTGTGCATATATATCCTCCTTGGCCTTCTAGCCCCTCTTTCAGGGAAATAAGAGGACAGTAGGTAAGGATGCCGGCTGGAGCTGAGGAAGGAGGACAAGGTTTGAAACCAGCTTAGGCTATAGAGCAGAGTATGATTCTCAGTCAGTGCCTGCTGGAAACACTCCGATAGATAGCACCATTTTTCTCAACCTTTCTTACCCCAGCGCTCCTTTAAAACATCCCCCAGCCCTGTTTCCACTAGAGAATTTACTTCCCATCAGCTGATCCTCCACTCCCTTCCTCCCAGTCCCTGCTACCTCCTCACCCATATGGCAGCCTGCATTCCAGAGTTCCTGGGGGTGAAAATTTGATGAATCCGTCCTCAAAGCACTGGGGTACACACGGCATAACTGCCTGGCATTGTGCTGTACAAACTCGTTGCCTGTAAAAAGGTACAGGGAAGAGGATGGAAGTTCTGCCTCTGAGGTAGGTCTTCCCCTTCCCTGGCCCCAAGAACCCTTTCAGCTTACTTTGCTCTTGTTGAAATCTGAGTCTGGCTCTAGGAAGCTGACAACCTCCCCCAGATTTTCCCCTCCCGAGAGCTTTGTGTCTACTATTCACAAATCTTTTCCTTCATGAGTTAGGGATGTAACTTAGTCAAGCGCTTGCCTAGCAGGCATAAAGCCCTGGGTTTGTATCCCAGCACTGCACAAACTGGAAATGATGGTATACAGGGTAATCCTAAAATATTTGAGCAGTAGAGACAAGAGGATCAGAAGTCCAATGAAAGAACAAGTTTGAGGTCAGACTAGGTTACGGGAGACTATCTCAAAAACAAAACCACTTTTCTCATTACCTAATCTGAAAAGTTCCTTTAGCTCTCTATTGGTTCCTTTTTCTGTTTCTTGGGACTTACCTACCTGCCTGCCAGACCTGAAGCTAGCTACCTATCCCACTTCTCCTGACCTGCCTCCTTGACAAGGTGCCTGGCCTTGCTCTCAGAGAAGGATGAAATATCACAGATATAATAATTTTCTTTGGAATGAGTGAAGCTGCAGAAGGGGACAGTCCTTAAGTAGACAACCAGGGCAGACAGGTCTGGGCACAAGATGGTCGCGGAATCCTGGAAAAGAAAGTGGGCAGGAAGATGGTATTGAGCCTGGAGTGATCTGGAGAGACGAAGCTGGTGGCCATCCAACCTAAGCCTCTGCCCAGCGCCTCCCACTGTATTCTCCCTCCTGCCTCACCTGGTTGGGCAAGAAAGAGGACCCAGGAACATAACTAGGAGTCTGGGCCAAAACGTTACCACAGATAAGCAGACAAGACACCGGACACGCCATAACCTGGGGATGAGGATGGGAATAAAGGCAGTCTGCATATACTGCTCGGATCAGTTTCAGCTCTGGGTTTGGAAGGTCTTCTCTGTGCTACTTGGGTAACCAGTCTTTATTATTTTTAAACAGAGAGGCATCAGTCACCCTACCTCTCTTAAAAATAAATGAACAGGGCTGGAGAGATGGCTCAGTGGTTAAGAGCACTGCCTGCTCTTCCAAAGGTCCTGAGTTCAATTCCCAGCAACCACATGGTGGCTCACAGCCATCTGTAATGAGATCTGGTGCCCTCTTCTGGCCTGCAGGAATGCATACAGACAGAACACTGTATACTTAATAAATAAATCTTTAAAAAAAAAAATAAATGAACAATAACCTTTGGTCAAAATGTATGCATGATCCTTGCATGATGGTGCACGCCTTTAATCCCAGCACTCAAGAAACAGAGGCAGGTGGGTCTCTATGAGTTTGAGCCTAGCTTGGTCTAGATAATGAGTTTCAGGTCACCCAGAGATACACATCAAGACTGCCTCAAAAAAAAAAAGTACATGAATCCAGTCAGATTATATGAAAGTATGCAGGTGGTCCCACAATCCACACCTGTAAGGTGAGGACCCCAGAGCATTATCTTTGGATTTATCTCCTAATTCCCATTATCATCCCTACACTTGACAACAGGTTTAAACAGCACAGCCTCAGCACAGGGTAAGTCAGCTGAGAAAGCCATGCAATTGCACAAGAGAAAGAAATGTGGCCTTCACACCTGGGTCTCGGAGGTCCCACCAATGGGAACCTTTCCTCACTTGGCCTCCCTATATCTGGATACTTCCAGCTCCTCCTCAAACTGTATCCTTTTCAAAACATGTTCTCTAACTTATCCCATTATAGCTGAGACTGAGGTCCCAGCTATCAATGGTCCAGTAACTTCTTATTCAGCCAATAAAATAGCTACATACACACAGAGAAAGAGACAGAGACAGAGCGGGAGAGACTGACCAGTGGCCTTCAGATTTTAAGATTTTGTGAAGAACAGAGTTGTGTCCAGAGTCACTTAGGTCCTTCATCTCTCCCTGCCTTCCTTGTCTTCTTTCTTGAACTCACCTACCTACCCGTCAGGCTTGAACCACCTCATGACACTTGGACCCCAGAGAGAGCCAAGTGAGGGCTTCAACTAGAATGGTTCTACATTTATCTGTTTTGTCTAAGATTTCATGATCCAAGAAGTTGGAGAGCCATAGTAATAGCAGATGATGGTGATGTATAATGCATAGTGATGTGTAGATGATATAATACACAATGATGCTGTCGATGATATGATACACAATGATGCTGCAGATGTACTTTTAGGACGCTTTCATTGAGAGGAAAGACCATTGTTCTCTTTGGGTTTCCACCCTGCCTGGCTCCAGACTCTTCAGAAACTGGCCCTTGGTTTGGGATGCATGCAGACTAAATGCCATTACAAAGAACTAGTCCTGATTCACCTTCTTAATGTGCTTTTTCCCAGAGGTCAACTCCTGGGACTCAGGCTGAAGCAGAGCATCCAACTCAGGGTAGGGGTCTGCATCCAGCTCTGACTCCTGATCGTCCTCCAGTTCTTCCTCTTCATCAATATCCTCAATATCCGCCTCAATTGTGCTTAACTTCCTTCCTTTCAGCAAGACCTTCCCTCGAAGCTGCTAGGAAACAAAAATAAAGAGACCTGTCTACTTGTCTGCTCAAGCCCCTCCTGAAGATTGTGGAGGTCTTACCATCTCAAACGCCGAAGGGAGTGAGCTGTCAGAAGTTTCCCAGAGAGTTTGATTCCTCCATACATATGGTAGAAAGACAATTATTCTCAAACAAACTTATAAAAACAATCACTAGGTCCTCACATTTCACACACTGAAAATTCCCTGAGGTTAATACCTATACAAAGCATAGAGGAGTGTGGAAAGAGAGAATGTTTTCTGAATAGTCTTATCACGGAAGAGCCTTTAGAAAGCATAGAATCAGGAGGTAGTCCCTCAAGCCTGCAGTTCCAGCACTCTGAAGGAGGCACCCAGGACTCTATGCTAAAACATGTCAAGCATGCTAGTGTATGCTGTAATCCCAGCACTCAAAAAACTCAGAGCAACAACAAGAAGCCCTTCTTTTCACCATTTTCCATTATGAACCATCTCACTATGGAGTAGTTTGTGGTTTGTCTGTCCTGTTGGTCAGAGTATAATTGGGTATTTTTTCTGGAGAAAAACTCAACAATAATTATCAAAATTGTCAAAATGCAATCTGTCGTGTGTGTGTGTGTGTGTGTGTGTGTGTGTGTGTGTGTGTGTGTGTTGAGAAAGGGTCTCATGTAGCACAGGCTGACTAGAGACTGGCTTTGAACTCCTGATACCCCTGCTTCCATCTCCTGAGTGCTGGAATTACCACCTCTGGCTAGAATGTAAACTCTTTGGCTGGCAGTTGGCAGTTGGCAGTTGTGCACATCACAATACCACCACCAATGTACCTAAAATACAAATGCTTTAACCCAGAAATTCAAAAGAAGAGCCAGGCAGTGGTGGTGCATGTCTTTAATCCCAGCACTTGGGAGGCAGAGGCAGGTGGATCTCTGCGAGTTCGAGGCCAGCCTGGTCTACAAGAGCTAGTTCTAGGACAGGCTCCAAAACCACAGAGAAACCCTGTCTCGAAAAACGAAAAAAAGAAGAAGAAGAAGAAGAAGAAGAAGAAGAAGAAGAAGAAGAAATAGACAAAATGTATGGACAGGATGAAAATTAACAATCTAAGTGTCTCCTAAATGTGTAACTGAATAAATTACAGTCCTACATGGCACTGGCATAGAACAGCACAATGAAGAACTATTAAAAAGAAAAGAAAAAAGTTCTTATACCACTTGGGCAGTAGTGGTGTATAATTATTAAGTATATATACAGCAGCGTTCTGCCTGCATGTACACATGCCCACCACAAGAGGGCACCAGATCCACTACAGATGGTTGTGAGCCGCCATGTGGTTACTGGGAATTGAACTCAGGACCTCTCTGGAAGAGCAGACGGGAAGTTGAGGCTGGCAGGTCTCTATCAAGGCTAGCCTGGTCTACAGAGCTTGTTCCAGGGCAAAGGAAGGTAGTGCACAATTGAGGCAAAGGAGGACAGATCTCTGTGAGTTTGAGGACAGTCAAAGATACACAGAGAAACCCTGCCTTGAAAAAACATAAAAACTTAAATTAAAATTTAAAAAAGGAAAAGGAAAAAGAGGAAAAGATAAGGGGCTGGGGATGTAATTTAGTGCGTAGAGTGCTTTCCTAGTATGCACAAGGCTCTGGGTTCAAATAGTGTCTAAATCTGGTGAGCTGGTACACATCCATCATCATCCCAGCACTCAGGAGGTAGAGGCAGGAGGATCAAGGGTTCAAAAGCAGCCTCAGCTACATAAGACCCTGTCTCTAAAAAAGAAAAAAGAAAATAAAAAAGAAAAAGCTGGGCCGGGCGGTGGTGGCGCACGCCTTTAATCCCAGCACTTGGGAGGCAGAGGCAGGTGGATCTTTGTGAGTTCGAGACCAGCCTGGTCTACAAGAGCTAGTTCCAGGACAGGCTCCAAAACCACAGAGAAACCCTGTCTCGAAAAACTAAAAAAAAAAAAAAAGCTGGGAAGTGGTCACTCGTACTTTTAATCCCAGAACTTGGGAGGAAGAAGTAGGCAGATCTCTGAGTTTGAGGCCATCCTGATCTGTAGAGTGAGCTCCAAGATAGCCAGGTTATACTAAGAAACCCTGTTTCAAAAAAAAAAAAGAGGAAAAGATATTCATGAAAATATACTTATGATATGAAATAAGAAAATATGGGCAGGGGGCTGGTGAAATGGCTCAGTGGTTAAGAGCACTGACTGCTTCTCCAGAGGACCGGGGTTCAATTCCCAGCATCCACATGGCAGCTCACAGCTGTCTGTAGCTCCAATTCAAGAGAATCTGACATCATTATACCAATGCGCATGAAATAAAGTTAAAGAAAAGAAAGAAAATATGGGCAGTAATCTCATTCATAGTTTCTCTAATGTACATATATATGTTTATTAAGCTTAAAAAAACTCTTGATGGTGCTGAAAATGTGATTTGGTTGGCAGAGTGCTTCCTTGTCATAGACAAAGCTCTGGGTTTGAGCTCCAGCATATCATAAATGGGGTGTGTGGCACGTGCCTACAATAGTAGTACTCGGGAGGTGGAGGCAGGAAAGGGCATCCTCAGCTACACAGAACAAGTCTGAGATCAGCCAGGGCTTCTGAAAACCCATCTCAAGGAGGGAAAGGAGGAAGAGAAAGATAAGGAAGAGGAGGAAGTGGCTGTGGCTGGAAGAAGCTCAGTAGTATGACTTGTGTTTAGCATGAGGGAAGTTTAGGGAATAGTAAGAATAATTCCACTGGGGCCAGCAAGACAGCTCAGCGAGTAGAGCACTTGCCAAAAGCCTGGTGATGCGAGTTTGATCTCCGAGGCCTGTGTGGTAGACGGAGAGAACTGACTCCTATTGGCCTCCACACTTGTGTTTTGCCATAGCACATGCACCATCACTACCTCCTGCCTCAAAACAAACAAACAAACAAATAAATAAATGTAATACTTGAAAAAAATCTATTGATATATACTGCCATGAAAGTGTTTGGGGGCTGGAGAGGTGGCTCAGTGGTTAAGAGCAATGGCTGCTCTTCCAGAGGACCTGGGTTCAATTCCTACATCCACATGGCAGCTCACTGCTGTCTGGAACTCCTGTTCCAGGGCACCTGATTTCCTCATACAGACATACTTGCAGGAAGCATGCCAATGTATATAAAAATAAATAACTTAGGGCTGGAGAGATGGCTCAGCGGTTAAGAGCATCGCCTGATCTTCCAAAGGTCCTGAGTTCAATTCCCAGCAACCACATGTTTGCTCACAACCATCTGTAATGAGGTCTGGTGCCCTCTTCTGGCCTGCAGGCATACAGACAGACAGAACATTGTAAACATAGTAAATAAATAAAAATAAGTAAATAAATAAATAAATAACATTTTTTTTAAAAAAAGAATGTGTTTGGGATCATAATGGGGGAGAATTTCCATTCTCAATATTGCTTATAGTCTGTACAAATTATAAATTATCAAAAACTATCAAATAACTAGGGATGGAGCTTAGCACAGTGATTGCCTAGCATGCACAGTGCCCTGGGCTTGATCCCCAGAACCACAGAAACTAGGCATGGCAGTGCATGCCTATAATCCCAGTACTTGGGAGGTGAAGAAAGGAGGATCAGGAGTTGAAAGTCAGCCTTGGCTACATGAATTCTTGTTTCAAAACAAAACTTATCTATAGGTATCTTAAAAAGCAAGATAGACCTTGTGAAGATAGAAGGGCACAAGAGGAATGTAGGAGCCATAGTGAGGGACTGTGAAAGCCACAGTAGCGCCTGGCTGGCCACAGGGTCCCTACCTCTGGAGAGGGCAGCTTATCCATCAGCACTCCATCTATGGTGGTACTCAGCAGCTGCTCTCCCAGTATCTCAGTCAGATGTTGTGCCAAGGTATGCTGCTGATCCCAGGTACAGTGGTTCTCCAGAGACAGGATGAGGGGGTAGTCTGAGAACTGGCAGAGAGAAGGGCATGGTGCCTTCAGAATTATAAGATCCTATAAGCCCCCACACTCCAAATCTTGTGTTTCTAGGCCCCCATTTATGAGTATACTGATTGCTAAACTACTCCAACCCCATTACAGGGCTCTGTGAGAACTTGATAGATCTCAGGTCCACTGCTTGGGACATACCCACACCTAAGGGTCACTCATGAGACCTCAAATCTTGTAACCATACCAATCTGATCCAAGTCCTTCTGAGGCCTTTTGAGTTTTCAGTCTCAGTGTGAATGACAGGCTATTCCCCTAGTTATGAGCTCACATTACCCTCTCATCCTTAGATTCCTATTGTTCCCCAACCCAACTCACCACTCTTTGTTCCCCTACCCATCCTCCCCTATATAGATAACAGAAAAATTTTAAAGTAGTTACTAGGAACTAGTGATTACCTGTATGAATACTAATTACTAGTAACATATCCAACACTGAGTCATAGTAATCCTTTAATATTTGTCTCATGCTTTAGCATTTTTAAAAAATATTTATTTATTTATGTATGTATGTATGTATACAGTATTCTGTCTGCTTGTATGCCTGCAGGCCAGAAGAGGGCACCAGACCTCATTACAGATGGTTGTGAGCCACCATGTGGTTGCTGGGAATTGAACTCAGGACCTTTGGAAGATCAGGCAATGCTCTTAACCTCTGAGCCATCTCTCCAGCCGCGTTTTTTTTTTAAACTTCTTTTATTAGCTGGGTAGTGGTGGCGCATACCTTTAATCTCAGCAGTCTGGAGGCAGAGGCAGGCAGATCTCTATGAATTCGAGGCCAGCCTAGTCCACAGAGTGAGTTCAAGGACAGCCAAGTCTACACAGTAAAACTGTGTCTTGAAAAAATAAAATAATAAAAAAAGAAACAAACAAAGAACCTTCTTTTGTCTCTATCACACTGCTACTGCAGTGTCTCCCTGCCCCTCCACCCTCACCAGATCGAGTCAGTCACATTTCCCTCAGACCTTCTTGCGGGTTTGTTTTTGTTTTTTGTTTTGTTTTGTTTTGTTTTGTTGTGTTGTTCCCAGCCTGGGGCTACTACCTGGAAGGCATACTGTGCCAGTGTCGCCACGACATCTTTGAACAGGATGCGAGAGGTCAAGGTATGTCCATGGTAAACAATGGGCTCCCCTCCAGGTCCATCCCATACATCCACCTCCACACAGCGGCACCCCCGCTTCAAGGCCCTGCAAGAACCCCAAACCCCCAGAGGCAGGAAAAGGTCAAGGTGCGGTCTAGCTAGGGAGCCACCTCTCGCTGCTCTGGAAAGAGGGGCGCTTACTAGATTTGCCCATCCAGACCACTTTATGTAACATCTCCACGGAGACCTCAGGCCGCCATGGCTGCAGCTCCACCTAGTCCCAGTTCATAATCCTCCCTAGCAAGTCATTACACATTACCTCCCAATATTTCCACTGTTCTGGATGTGTCCCAATATAGCACCTGGATCATTCAAACACCTAGGAAATCCACCCCCCACTGATGTTTGAAATGGGGTCTTTTAGCAATCAGCCTGGAATTTACAACCTTCACTTCTGCTGGGATTGTAGGCACCTCTCTCTCCAATAGGATTAAACACAGGGCCTCATAGATGCTTTGCTGAGCTACAAGTCCTTGTATCCTTCAAGCCACCCGGTCACTCAGTTGCCTTGACTTCAGTCTTGTCTTGATTAGTCACAACAACGGCAACAACCACTTACAAACTACTGGCTCACAGACTGAGGAACCCTGACAGATGGGCAGTTATCATCTCTATTTCGTAGAGAAACAGAGAAAGGTTTGTTAGCTCCCAGAACACCAAGCGAGCTAGAATTTGACCTAAAGTGAACTAATTCTGGAGCTTATGGGTTTTTTGGTTTGGTTTTTTTATATGAGTTTTTTTTTTTTAAAAAAAAAGTTTTATTTATTATGTATAGTATGCTTGCACTCCAGAAGAGGGCTCCAGATCTCATTACGGATGGTTGTGAGCCACCATGTGGTTGCTGGGAATTGAACTCTGGACCTCTGGAAGAGCAGCCAGTGCTCTAAACCTCTGAGCCATCTCTCCAGCCCCGAGCTTATGTTTTTTAACTCTACATCCCACTGCCTTTCCTTTAAAGCAGTGGTTCTCAACTTGTGGGCCTTGGCCCCTTTGGCAAACCTCTGTCTCCAAAAATATTTATACTATGATTCATAACAGTAGCAAAATTACAGTTATGAAGTAACAATGAAAATAATTTTTTTTTGGGCTTTTTCAAGACAGGGTTTCTTTGTAGCTTTGGGGCATGTTCTGGAACTTGCTTTGTAGGCCAGACTAGCCTCAAACTCACAGAGATCCGCCTGCCTCTGCTTCCCAAGTGCTGGGATTAAAAGCGTACGCTGCTACCACCTGGCAATGAAAATAATTTTATGGTTGGAGTCAGCACGGCATGAGGAGCTGTATTAAAGGATTGCAGCGTTAGGGAGGTTGAGAACCACTGCTTTATTCTATTTACTAGCCCCCCCAAAAAAAAACAAAAACAAAAAAAAACACTAGGACCCCTGAATTCTCAGAATATCCTAGCTTGCAACAGAGAAGAATTCTGTTTATCTGTAGGATTTCATTACCTTTATGCTAATAGCCAAGATGTTCTCCAAGTCTCTCAGGTACCCAGGGAACTGAGGTCCCTAAGCTCTCTCTATCTCAGTCCCTGTTATCCCCTTAGTTCCCCATAGATAGTCCACCTCATGATACTGCCACTGTACCGAATGTATCCTTCCACGCTGCTCTGGCCACAAAGCTGGTCCCTCAGTAGGTAGGTGTTGTGAGAGGAGTTGATGTAGTAGTGGTTCAGAGGCTGAGTCATATCCTGGTAGACAGGGAGGCAGTCTGGGTTGAAGATGTTCCCGTCCTTCGAGCAGAGATATCTGAGGAAGCCGTCCTTGCTCAGTACGTGCCGCAATCTGCCTAGAGTGTGGAGTGCAAGCCACACCAGGGAGACACCCATAAGCCTCTTCCCTGGTCCCCCTCCGTGGGGTCCTACCCCTCAGATGCTGATTCCCAGTCTGCAGATCCCAAATTTGCCACATGTTGTACCTTAAACAGACATTTCCCAGCTATCTAGCCTTTCTTTCTTTCTTTCTTTCTTTCTTCTTTCTTTCTTTTCTAAAAACAGGTTCTCACTATGTAGCCCTAGCTGGCTTAGAACTCTCTATGTAGACTAGGCTAGCTTCAAACACACATAGATCCAGTTGTGATGGCACACACTTTTCATTTTGGCACTGGGGAGGCAGAGGCAGGGGATCTCTGAGTTTTAGACCAGCCTGGTCTACATAATGAGTTTCAGGACAGTCAGAGTTACATAGTGAGATCCAGTCTTGGAAATGAAGAAAACTAAAAACGACCACATAGAGATCCTTCTGCCTCTCTTACGTGCTTTGGCTTAAAGGCGTGTGCCACAATGCCTGGAACATGCTCTCCTGCCCCCATTTGCATGCATGTTCTCTCTTTCTCTCTTTACATTTATTACTTTGTGTATGTGTGTGACAATGTGTGTGTAAGGGTGCACTGCTATGATGTGTGTGTAAGGGTGCATTGCTATGATGTGTGTGTGGAAGGGATGCACTGCTACGATGTGTGTGTGTAAGGGATGCACTGCTATGATGTGTGTGTGTAAGGGTGCATTGCTATGACGTGTGTGTAAGGATGCATTGCTATGACGTGTGTGTAAGGGTGCATTGCTATGATGTGTGTGTGTAAGGGTGCATTGCTATGATGTGTGTGTAAGGGTGCATTGCTATGATGTGTGTGTAAGGGTGCATTGCTATGACGTGTGTGTAAGGATGCATTGCTATGACGTGTGTGTAAGGATGCATTGCTATGATGTGTGTGTAAGGGATGCATTGCTATGATGTGTGTAAGGGGTACACTGCTATGATGTGTGTGTAAGGGATGCATTTCTATGATGTGTGTGTGTAAGGGTGCATTGCTATGATGTGTGTGTAAGGGTGCATTGCTATGATGTGTGTGTAAGGGTGCATTGCTATGATGTGTGTGTAAGGATGCATTGCTATGATGTGTGTGTAAGGGATGCATTGCTATGATGTGTGTGTAAGGGGTACACTGCTATGATGTGTGTGTAAGGGATGCATTTCTATGATGTGTGTGTGTAAGGGTGCATTGCTATGATGTGTGTGTGTAAGGGTGCATTGCTATGATGTGTGTGTGTAAGGGTGCATTGCTATGATGTGTGTGTGTAAGGGTGCATTGCTATGACGTGTGTGTAAGGATGCATTACTATGATGTGTGTGTAAGGGATGCATTGCTATGATGTGTGTGTAAGGGGTACACTGCTATGATGTGTGTGTAAGGGTGCATTGCTATGATGTGTGTGTGTAAGGGTGCATTGCTATGATGTGTATGTGTAAGGGTGCATTGCTATGATGTGTATGTGTAAGGGTGCATTGCTATGATGTGTGTGTAAGGGTGCACTGCTATGATGTGTGTGTGTAAGGGTGCATTGCTATGATGTGTGTGTAAGGGTGCATTGCTATGATGTGTGTGTAAGGGTGCACTGCTATGATGTGTGTGTGTAAGGGTGCACTGCTATGATGTGTGTGTAAGGGTGCACTGCTATGATGTGTGTGTAAGGGTGCACTGGTATGATGTGTGTGTAAGGGTGCACTGCTATGATGTGTGTGTGTAAGGGTGCATTGCTATGATGTGTGTGTGTAAGGGTGCATTGCTATGATGTGTGTGTGTAAGGGTGCATTGCTATGATGTGTGTGTAAGGGTGCACTGCTATGATGTGTGTGTAAGGGTGCACTGCTATGATGTGTGTGTTAAGGGTGCACTGCTATGATGTGTGTGTAAGGGTGCATTGCTATGATGTGTGTGTAAGGGTGCACTGGTATGATGTGTGTGTAAGGGTGCACTGCTATGATGTGTGTGTAAGGGTGCATTGCTATGATGTGTGTGTAAGGGTGCACTGGTATGATGTGTGTGTAAGGGTGCATTGCTATGATGTGTGTGTAAGGGTGCACTGCTATGATGTGTGTGTGTAAGGGTGCACTGCTATGATGTGTGTGTGTAAGGGTGCACTGCTATGATGTGTGTGTGTAAGGGTGCATTGCTATGATGTGTGTGTAAGGGTGCACTGCTATGATGTGTGTGTAAGGGTGCACTGCTATGATGTGTGTGTAAGGGTGCATTGCTATGATGTGTGTGTAAGGGTGCATTGCTATGATGTGTGTGTAAGGGTGCACTGGTATGATGTGTGTGTAAGGGTGCATTTCTATGATGTGTGTGTGTAAGGGTGCACTGCTATGATGTGTATAAGGGTGCATTGCTATGGCACAGTTGTGAAAGTCAGAGGACAACCAGCAAGCATCGATTCTCTTCTTCCACCATATGGGTCCCTGGGCTCTAACTCAGGTCATCAAGCTAAGCAGCAAGCATCTTGCCCACTGAGTCATCTTGTCAGTCTCCACCTTAATTTTTCTGAGTGATTTTCTTTTTTTTTTTTTATTATGTATACAATATTCTGTCTGTGTGTATGTCTGCAGGCCAGAAGAGGGCACCAGACCTCATTACAGATGGTTGTGAGCCACCATGTGGTTGCTGGGAATTGAACTTAGGACCTCTGGAAGAGCAGGCAATGCTCTTAACCTCTGAGCCATCTCTCCAGCCCCCGATTTTCTTTTCTAAATAAATTGTCTCTATTTATATAAATAAAAAATATTTTGTCAGGACCTGGTGTTGTACACCTATAATCACATCACTTATGAGGAAGAGGCCATGGGCTATTGACTTTGAGTTTGAAGCCTTTGCCACATCATGAAGTCATGTCTTAAAAAACTAACAGACCGCCAGGTGGTGGTGGTGCATACCTTTAATCTCAGCACTTGGAAGACAGAGGCAGGCAGATCTTTGAGTTCAAGGCCAGCCTGGTCTACAAGAGCTAGTTCCAGGACAGGCTCCAAAGCTACAGAGAAACCCTGTCTCGAAAAACTAAAAAAATTAAAAATAAAAAACCTAACAGACCAAACATTCTAGTTCAGTGTTATCCAACAGAATGGTCCACATGAGAAAGCTCTACTCTGCATTGTTGGACACAGCGGCCCTAGATACACGGTCCACAACCATGAGAATGTTCTACTCTGCATTGTTGGACACAGCGGCCCTAGACACAGGGTCCACAACCATGAGAATGTTCTACTCTGTGTTGTTGGACACAGTGGCCCTAGATACATGTATCTATGAACATTTGAAATATGGCTTTTGTGCCTGAGGCAGTAATTTTATAATTTTAGTTGATTTTGACCCATTTAAATGTACATAGTCTTCGGAGTTCACAGTTTTCATAAAAGGTAGCACAGAATCCCATTCTAAAGCCTAAGGATATACCTAGAAAAGTTATTAGCAACCTGGCCAAAGTGTCTATATGCTTTCTTCCTTGAGCTATGCAGCTATATGCCCAGTGCTATGACCTGTAGTATTTAGCGGGGCATGTCAACTTCTCCTTAGGCTATACTCTTGCTGAGGAAATGGCCCTTTGATTCTTTCAGTGCACCTCACTTTTCTTAGTATGGACTTCAAACAGTACCAACAGTGACCAGCAGTTAACGGGCACTTGATCTACACAAGGACATTTTGTATGGCAGCTAACTAACACAGTGAGGTCAGTATTGCAGTACAGCTACTACGGCAAGTTAGATAGCTTGCCCTACGTCACACGGCTATTTTAAGTGAAGGATCTGAAATCTGAACCAGATGCCTTGCACTGCTGGGCTGTGAAGCTCACTGAGTATATCTTAGCTTCAGAGAGGCTTGGTTGGCAGGAGCCCTAGTGTTCATGACCAGCTTCCTAGATCTAGGTTTGACAAATTATAGAGTCGAAGAATGGCAGGAGGCCGGGCAGTGGTGGCGCACACCTTTAATCCCAGCATTTGGGAGGCAGAGGCAGGCGGATCTCTGTGAGTTCGAGGTCAGCCTGGTCTACAAGAGTTAGTTCCAGGACAGGAACCAAAAAGCTATGGAGAAACCCTGTCTCGAAAATAAAAAAAAAAAAAAAAAAGAAAAAGAATCGCAGGAATTTGGGTAGGAAGTTTCAGCTGAAGGCCCCACTTCTCAACATGATGCACTGGTGAGAATTCAGTTCTTAGCATGTGTGTGTTAGGGGCACACTCAAGCCATGACAGATGTAATTGGTGCCGTTGATCCTGCTCTGAAATAGAAGCACTATTTTTTTTTTATTTTTTCGAGACAGGGTTTCTTTGTAGTCCTGGAACTAGCTCTTGTAGACCAGGCTTTTCTTCAGACGTCTTCAGTCTTATTTCCTGGCTAGCACGGTTGTACACACTTGCTTTTGTTTATTTTGTTTTTAAAGAAGACAGGGTTTCACTGTGTAGCCCTGGCTGTCCTCCAATTTACTCGGTAGAACAGGCTGGCCTTGAACTCAGAGATCCACCAGCCTCTGCCTCCAAAGTGCTGAGATTAAAGGCGTGCGCCATCACACCCAGCTTGAAATCCTATTTCAAACTTACGAAAAGATTTTGTTTAGAGTTTTTTTTGGGGGGGAGACAAAATTATTTTTGTTTAGATCAAAAGATTTTGCCTTAGAGTTCCTATTCTTCTCTGAGTACACCCATAAATCACCAATACTCTAACACATTGTTGGACTCTGAGTTCCAGGAGGGCAGTGTTCCTGTCTGGTCTAGGCATCATTGTCTCTATGGTGCTTGGCCTAGGCCTGGCACATTATACTCAATAAGAATTTCTCACTGGGTGGTGGTGGCGCATGGCTTTAATCCCAGCACTCAGAGAGGCAGAGGCAGGTGGATCTCTGAGTTCAAGGCTAGCCTGGTCTACAGTCCCAAGACAGCCAGGGCTACACAGAGAAACCCTGTCTCAAAATAAATAAATAAAAGAATTCGCTAAAATGGTGAATGAATGAACCAGTGGGAGTAAAAGTTGAGGCCCATAAATCCTGGGTCACTTGGCCACCCCAATCATCCTACTCTGTATTTTCATGAGAGACACTGCTTGGAGGATGATCTGGTCTGGATTCCAGTTCCATTCTCATTAGCTGCTAGCTTCCAGAAAGTTGTTTAATCTCTTTTATTTGTGTTTTATTGTGTTTGTGTATGAGTGTGGTATAAGTGTGTATGTGTACAAGTGTGTGTGTGGTGTCCAGAGAGGAGGTCCAGTGTCCCTTTACCATTGAGATAGGCTTTCTCACTGAACCTGAAACTAGGCTGAGAGCTAGCAAACCCTGGTGACTGCATCTCTGCCCTCCGCCCGCTGCTCCGAGGTTACAGATACACCCATCACCATGCTGGCCTTTCACCCGGTGCTGGGTCTGAACGCAGGTCCTCAGGCCTGCACAGCCTGCTCTCTCACCCGTGGAGCCACCTCTCCAGCTCCCCGTTTGATTCTTTAAAAAATCTCTGTTTTACTATTTCTAAAACTGACTTAATAATAGAGCCTATTGCCGGGCGGTGGTGGCGCACGCCTTTAATCCCAGCACTTGGGAGGCAGAGGCAGGTGGATCTCTGTGAGTTCGAGACCAGCCTGGTCTACAAGAGCTAGTTCCAGGACAGGCTCCAAAGCTACAGAGAAACCCTGTCTCGAAAAACCAAAATAATAATAATAATAATAATAATAATAATAGAGCCTATTTTATCAGAAGGCTAGGACAAGCCCAGAGTGCAGAGATGCTGGCATATTGCGGGCGGCTCAGTGAAATCCCAATGGATGGGTCATTTTCCATTTTACAAAGCTGCGGTGAGGAATGAACTAGGTAGAGTGTCAATGTGCTTTGTGGATGCTTTACTATTGATATCAACTTCTCACAGGCCCGTGAGAGCGGGGCGGAGAAGTGAGTTCTCTAAGGGCAAAGGAGGGGAAAGCTTAATGATAGAGAAGGCACGTTTTAGCTGTACCTGCCACAAGCCAGATTCTTGGCCTCATCCCTGCCCCAGGCCTAGGCTGACTAGATTCCTGATTCAGGAGCTTAAGGATTTAAGTAGAGAACTTCCTGGAATAATCAGGAAACTAACACTTAAAAGCCCAGCAGCCGTGGGGCATGGGGCAAAAGAATCACTGCGGGAGAGGAGGTGAGAGTGAGAGCCCTGTTTCCTTCCTCCACTGAGGGCAAAGTTAGTGTGGTGAGGAATTCTCCAAATGCAAGGGGACGTGGAATGGGAGCACGGGGAAGGAAAGGAGACTCAGACTCACTTCCTCTTTGGAGATGAAAAACTGTTTGTGTCTTACCTGACAGGGAATGGCTGCTCTACTTCAGGAGAGTGGTCCAGTGAGATGATTAGAAAGGAGGTCAGGAGAAGGGTAGACTCAGCCTTCCCTATATTAGAAGACTGTGTCTCTGGGTCTTTCTTTTTTAACTCCCCCCCCCCGCCCCATTCTCTGTATTCAGCATGTATGCACCCAGGTATCCTTACCATTCTCTGAAGGTTCATAGAGGTCAATGAATTCCAGAGCAAGGTCGTGGGCGTTTTCTTTTTCTTTCTGATCCTCTCTAAGGAAATCCGCAAACTCCAGCAGGGTCAACTTCTGTCCATCTGATGAAAAGTGCTCGAATAGTTGCTCAACCTCAGTACGCTTAGTCAGTGCCTTATAGAAATGTACAAATTCTTCCCCTTCTAGAGTATCAGACTGGGACACATCTGCTGTCTGCAAGAGAAGATTTAACAGGGAATGGATAAACACTGGGAAATGGTACGCTCCTTTGTCCTGGTTATGGCCAGCAAGCTTCAGGACTCAATCTCAATCTCTCTCTCTCTCTCTCTCTCTCTCTCTCTCTCTCTCTCTCTCGGGGGTACTCCCTGACACACACACCATGCCTGACCTTTTACACAGATGCCAGGGTAGAACGTGAGTCCTATTCTCCTATTCTTACATGGCAAGCACTTTACTACCAGGCCTGTAAAAGGGGCATCTTAGCATGTGTTTATAAAAATCTCACAAACTCCTGACATTTCATACAAGTCACTCCAGGAAATAAAAGACAAAGTTTTAGCCCTTTAATTTGCTGGAGGGAAAATTTTTAACTGAAAGGTTATATCTCTCAAAGGTCCTCTAATGGTTAGACAAGAACTGGGAGCAATGATACATGCCTTTAATCCCAGTTTAGGATCAGGAGTTTGACAGTGAGTTTGAGGTCAGTTGGGCTATATTTGACCCTGACTCAAAACAAGCAAACAGCAACAACTAGTCAGAATCTGTCACCTCCTCTTTAGTCACATTGCAGATGGAATTTTTTGTTTTGCTTTGTTTGTTTTTCAAGACACGGTTTCCCAGTAGCTAAGGAGTCAAAGTTCCAGGAAGCTCTCCTAGACCAGGCTGGCCTTGAACTCACAGAAATCTGTCTGCCTCTGCTTCCCAAGTGCTGGGATTAAAGGGGTGAGCCACCACTTCCTGGTTTGCAGATGGAATTTTGTAGTGGGCACCTGTGACACTCTGCTTATGAATAGGAAGTCCAATAGTAATATATTGGGGTTTTTGTTTTGTTTTGTTGAGACAGGGTCTCTCTATGTAGCCCTGGCTGTCCTGGAACTCTCAGTAGACCAGGCTGGTTTTGAATTTAGAGCTCTACCTACCTCTGTCTCCCAAGTGGTAGGTTTAAAGGCGTGCGCCACCACTCGGCTCCAATACATTAACATACTGGTTTTGTTGTTTTATTTTGTGGTTTTTGGTTGTTTGTTTTTTGTTGTTTTGGTTTTTGGTTTTTTAAGACAGGGTTTCTCTGTATAATAGTTCTGTTTGCCCTGGAACTTGCTCTGTAGATCAGGCTGCCCGAGAGTTCTGGGATTAAAGGCATGTGCCACCAGTGCCCAACACGATTATGATTCATCCTCCCAACAAGACAGGGGGGCCAGCATCATTTCCCACACCAGTCCCACTGAGCTGATTATGGTAATAGAGACACAGCAAGGATTCAACAAATGAGTGCTGGCGGCTGAGCAGGGTCAGGGGCTTTCTGACCAATGAAAACATGGTCTGGCTGTCTCCTGCAAATCCCCCCCAGCAATGTACCTGAAAAAGATGGAGGGCATAGTCTTGATCCATTTCCACGTTCATCAGAAGCAGCAGCCGCTGGGCTTCTCCGAAACTCATCCTGCCGTCCTGGTTCCTGTCCCCTCGCTGGAACCACTCACTCACCCATCCAGCTCCGAGTCAAGGCAAAAGTCCGGGTGTTCATCCACTGACACCTCTCCTGTCTTTGCTGCCAGTCTCCCTCCCAAGCCAATCCATTTTCTACGTGGCTGCTAGAATAACCCCTCCCAGCATAAATCTGTCTTGTCATTGTATGGCTCAGGCGCCTGCAGGGACTCACCTCCCCGTGGTCTACAGAAAGAAACCTAAATTCTGACATAGAAGCGAAGATGCCCTGACCCTTGTGACCTGATCTGGCCCAGCCCAGTCCAGCCCAGCCTTCTCTGTGTGTCTGCCTTTGTACTTCTGCCAGTCTCAGCAACACCATCCCCTACCTGCTTCCTTCAGTCTGCTCTCTCCGAACCTTCATCTACGCCCTCCTCTCAGACAGGAGTGCCTTTCCCTTCCTCTTTCTTCAGGTTTGAATTATGCCACTTTTCTTTCTTTCTCTGACAGGGTCACATATAGTCAAGGATGACTTTGACCTTCTGATTCTTCTGCTTCTACCTCCTGGGTATTGGAATTACCTGCACCAGTTCCCATGCCCAGGGTATTCGGGGTTGGGATTGATCCCAGCACTTCTTCTTCTTCTTTTTTTTTTTTTAAAGAAAGGATATAGAAACCAATTTTTATTCATGAATCACTCACACAATTCTGAGAGAATCCCAGAACTTCTTGCATGCTCTGCAAGCACTCTGCCAACAGAGCTGCATGTCCAGTCCAAAATTGTAAGGACTCAACTCCCATGCTACTGCTCCCCTGGCACTTTCTCAGAACGCTCTTATGTAGAGTCAAGTAGTCCTCTAATTTGGTACTTAAATTATTTACACGAATTGATTCTCTCAACTAAGTAAAGTAATAAATGTGGTCTCATTAATCTTGATGTTCCTAAAACTAAGCATAATGGTGGCTAGTCTGGCTAATTGGTACCGAGTGAATGTTTACATGAAGTAATGGACAATCTAGGAACTGCTTTTCCATTTATTGAAGGGTAGGTCCATAAGCCACTGTGTGTTGAGGTCAGGGGTATCAGAGGACTGGAACTCAGTCCTTCCACTCCATGGGCTCCAGGGATTGGATTCAAGCTGTCAGGGTTGGGGACAAGCACCTTCACTGGCTGAGTCACCTCACTGGCTTCAGTCTAGGAATCTTAGGGAGCCTGCACCATGGCACTCTCTAGGAGTTGCTTCCTGTGCCTGGGTAGTGAACGCCAATGGGGTGTGTCTGTTCAGCTCATAGGAGCAGCACCTTGCTTGCTCCTTCTCCTCCTTTTGCTGGCCCTCCCTCCTAGACTGGACTCGAACTCTTATTCTCAGGCTCTGACTGGCAGCCGCTCATTTCTCTTTCAGAATCATCAGCTCTACTCCACCTGGATCCTCTGGCTTTCCTGTCTCTGCACCCCTCCCCATCTTCCCTGGGTCTGTAGCATCTGGCCCCTTCAGGAACCCCTGCCCACACCCTAACATCATCTGGTTGATACTGGTCTAGTTGCTCCTGGTGGTCCATGCTGGCAACAAGATCCACCAACAGCTGGAGTCCTCGCATCCAAATCTGAGCCTCTTCAACGCTGCTGGCTACTAGGTCCAGGTTGGGGCGGCGACCATGAAAGACAATGGTGAAGCCTTGCTCCAGGGGGAACTCTTCCACTAGATCGCGCAACAACTCAGAATCATGGCCCTTACGTATTGTCTCCACATCAGAGATTGAAACTGTCAGAGAAGAAACAGGTGGGAGCCCTGAGGAGAGGGGATGAGGGATGGTGACCAGGACTCCTTTCTCTATGAGACATAGAGAGGAGAAACCTGAGCTTCTGAGGGCTGAATCCCAGGGACATGTGGACAGGGTGACGGGGACCCAGTGATTCAGGAGTTGGCATGAGTCAGCGTTTTTTTTAATCAGCACAGCAAAGAGGTTCAGCTAGACCTGGCAAGATCTGACTCCCAGTCAGTGAGAAGTGTGAAGAGCCAAACTTAACCTCTCAGTGTCCACATCTTAAACAGTGGATGGTCCCCATTCACTGCAGGTCACAGTGGTTCCCACAGGAGAACTAGTGAGGAGGACAAATATATCTGTAGAGTATAGCGGATGCCTATGTTTCAGGTTTGAAGGTTTCTTCTTTCAAGGTGCATAGAAGGGAGCAGGAGAAATTCCTCCATTCCTTACCTCAGCTCGGGGTGATGTGGTTTGTGACTATTAATATGTCTCTAAGCAGACTGTTTATTCTGCGATCAAGTGTTTTCGGGTATAAGAGCTGGCCTATTGGGATGTGTTTTATGCTCTGAAATACTGCAATGGCTAACATTTATGAACTTCACCCTGAAATAATGCAATGGCTAACATTTATGAACTTTGCCCAGGTTTCAGATCTCATGCTGGGTGTTTCATACGTTAGCTCATCGAGTCTCTATAATTTACAGGTAGGTGCAGGTTAACTCTCATTTTGTAGATGAGAAACCTGAGTTCAATTTGTCCAGAGCTACTCACCAAGAGAGTGGCAGAGCCAGGGTCTTAATCTAGACAGTGTGATCACAGTCATGACCATAATAAATAACCTATTATTTATAGAGACTTATCACACGCCAAGGCTCTTCTAAGCCTCCTATGTGTAATAACTAATTTAATCCTCATTACAGGCTGGTTTGTTGTCTTGTATAGAGCCACACAAGAGGGCCTGCACAAGAGACCACCATCACAGGATCCTGGTCCTCCCCCTGCCCTCAAACTTCTGGATTCCTCAGAGACTTTTCCACCCATATACCCACACACAGCTATTAAGGTCACTCACAAGTGAGCTTGGCTATGTCATCGGCTTGCTGTGCGTGCCAGACTGTCATGCCGTCATTCTGAAGTCTGAAGAATCTTAGCTTCTTCCAGAATCTGGTCCTCACCTTGCGCATCATCATGCCTTCTTGCATCAGCAGCAGGTCCTGATCAGTGGTCAGTCCTGAGCCAGGAAAAGCTCACTTAGCCAGCCGAGAGGCTGGAGGGCTCAGGAGCTCTGTAAGCAGCATCTAACCTCCTTCATTCCCCAGGCTTGCCCTCAAGACCTATCCTCCTGCAGGGGTACTCACGGTCTTGAATCTGAGATGCCATCACCCACTGCTCCACCAGCTGGTGCCAGAGTCACTTAAAGGAACAAGGAGGAGCCAAGGGCTTTGGGTGAGTCCTAGAGATTAAAAGAACAAAAGAAGGAACTCAGGGTTTCCTTAATGGCACGTATTAGGTACTTCATCTAATCTGCAGCTATCTGTACTTCTGCATTTGCTAACTCTGAGGTTTAGCTAGGTGAAGAGAAGCCTGTCTCAATTCATGCACAGATTAGAATTTAAGATACACAGAGCTATCTTTGTTAGCTAGTTCCCATGGCTATCTCCAGGGAGGGCTAAAGCAGGACCTGTTCCAAACCACTTTCTAGCTACCTACACTCAATAGGTAACGTTACTCCACACCTAGCTCATTCCCCGTGTTCTCATTATTAGGGTCCACCATCTTGTAACCAACAGTTATGAGAACCTTGAATCTGTCCACACCCTAGCTGTCTCTCCTTCAGGTAGGATTATCCCAGTTTTTTCCTTCCTGGAGCCCTGTCTACATTCTCATCTATATTGTGTCAAATTTCTAAAAATCTAGGGCAAATCTTTTATTTGTTCTTTCTTTGAGCAGAGTCTCATGTAGCCAAAGACAGGTCTTGAACTCCTAATCATTTTGTTCCCACCCATGGAGTGCTGGGGTCACAGATGGGAATCACCATGCCCAGCATCACCTAAAAGACAGTCAGTCCTTCCTCTAAATGTCAGCTTCCACCTTGTGGGCCTTGGGCTTTGAAGAAGACAGAATTACCTTCTCTGTTCCTGTGTCCAGGAGCCTTACATGTCCTGGAACATGGGAAGCCTGAGAACAGAGCCCAGGAGCCAGAACAGTTTCCCAAACCAGCCTTGGAAAACCACTTTGCCTTTTCCCCCATCCAACCATTCCAGAGCGATGGTTTTAACTTGTAGCTATGGGATGTATGGTCAAGAGAATGCCAGTAGCACCTCAGCCACAGCACGTGAGACCTGAGCTTCATGGAGGAGACTGGAGGCCAGGAAGACTGGCTGTCCTGCCAGAGTCAGTAAAACTGCAGTAGAAAGCAGATCTACCTACGACCAGTGCAGAGCTCACCAACGCCTCCCTTAGAAAGAGCCTCCTCCAGAAGGCAGGTTGAAGGAAGGCCAGGAATCAGTGGGGGACACTGGTGATCTCTCTCTCCTCTCCATCATCGTCTGGGTCCCCTACATCCCACCAAACAAGTTCCTTTTCTTCCCGTTTTCTTGACTTTCCCATTTCATGCCTGACCTCTTTCTTTTCCTTTCTTCCTAGCTCACTCTTTTCTCTCTCACAATCCTCTCTGTGCACTCAAGTCATGCTTTTTGTGTTCTCTTCTTGTCCTTCTCCTCATCCTTTTCCCCATCATCTTTTCCTGCCATTCCCCTCCTTTATCTCCACTAATTCTCAATAGCTCCGATTCTCAACTCCTTTACAGATTTTGAATCTATAGTCCAGGAGAGAGAACACATTGGTTTGGACACTCAGAAACATGCCCCTCCTCTCAGTCTCACTTTTCCCTGTATCCTAGGAGACTGACTAAACAAAGTGCCCTAAGAATGTGTTAGAACCTAAATGTTCTAGGGCTTGGTGTTTCTGCTGGTGTCTGAAAGGGAGGATGGTTACAATGGATGCAGGTGCAGTGGGGTAAGAAGAAACAAGGGGTTTGGGAGAGGGGGCACCAGTAAGGACACAGAGGATAAAATCTCAAAGTAAGAGAGATCGGGCCAGCTAGACACGATGGGAATCTTAACACTTGGGAAGTTAGAAGTGGAAGAATCAGGTGTTCAAGGTTATCCTTGGCTACATAGGAAGTTTGAGGGCAGCCTGCATTCAGGGAGAGAGAGAGAGAGAGAGAGAGAGAGAGAGAGAGAGAGAGAGAGAAGAGGGAGAGTAACACATATACATCTATTTGGAATCTTTGAAGATTCAGATAATAACCTCTGTAATAAAGACATAAACTTTCCTAGTACTAGTGGCCCAGTATTACAGAGCAAGCAAGATTTGATCCTCTGCCTCCAGGCCATGTTGTATCACCTACAGATGGAGTTCGGAAGTGAAAACATATATGCCAATAACATTACAGTAAGATTCAGGGTATCTCAAATGTCTTTCTGAGGGGCAGGAAGGAAGAGAACTATTTTATCTAGTTCCTAGGGGTTATGGCTAACCTGGCTCAGATAAAGCAGGTGGGATGGCGCTGGTCACAGGTCACAGCCCTTAGAATGTTAGAACTTACAGGCTCTCACAGCACATAGACTTGAGCTGAGATCACTATCTCCTGAAGAGTCTCTTAGAATTTGCCAGATCAAAATTTCCAAGGATGAGGTGTGAGGATATTTAGTGGGCATCTTAACAAGCACTCCTGGTACAAAGGCAAGTCTGGGAAGCCCTAAGTTCCCCCATTACAGATCCTGAAGCTGTCTGCGGTCTCAAGTCCTGTAGCACACAGCAGACTGGCGTACCAAGAACTCACCCTGGCTCATTAAGCAGGCAAGGAACAAAGCACAGAACTCCAATGCTGACTCTTTCCAAAGATGTCTTAAATTATCTCCCTACTGCCAGGAGTTCTGATATCTCGTGGGTTTTGGACAGTCCTCATTCGTTAACCCTCAACAGTCTATTAATATATCTTTATTGATGAGTAGCTACTCTTATTCTGCCTCTTCTCCTATTGCGGTGGTTTTACCTCCGAGAAGTGGCTAGCGTCAGCACTCATGGCCCTGGACAGATAAGAGTTTTCTCTATAAAAGGGTGATTGAAGCCGGGCAGTGGTGGTACATGCCTTTAATCCTAGCACTTGGGAGGCAGAGGCAGGAGGATAGCTGTGAGTTCAAGATCAGCCAGGTCTACAGGCTCCAAAACTACAGAGAAACCTTGTCTCGAAAAACAAATACAAAAGCAAATAATAATAAATGTGACTGATACAGCCAGAAACAAAACTGTTTAAGCCTGGCGGTGGTAGCAGCACACGCCTTTAATCCCAGCACTTGGGAGGTAGAGGCAGGCGGATCTCTGAGTTCGAGGCCAGCCTGGTCTACAGAATGAGTTCTAGGACAGCCAGTTCTAGCCAGGGCTACCCAGAGAAACCCTGTCTCGAGAAACCAGAGCAAACAAACAAAACTGAGTCAGAGGATAAATAGAAGAGAACCAGGAGGAGGGAGAGAGCCCGGTGGAGCTGCAGGGTAAAAGAAGGAGCCTAGTTTAACCTAATCAAGATAGGTATGCACCTGTAGCGCTGCGTTAGGACTCAGGCAGGCGTGGAGAGAGGTTGGTTGGTTAGAGCTCCAGGGCCCTTACCGCGGGTAAGATAGCAGCGATCCTGTCTGCGAGCAACGCCTCCGGAGCTCTGCAGTGCTCTCCGCGGAGAACGGGAAGGCTCAGCCCGGCTCCTCTTCTCCTTTGCACTTGACTGCAGTCTTCAACTGCAGTTTGCTGCCCTGACTGGCAGAGTTACAGTCAAGGAGAAGGAGTAGGCTGGGGAGAGGTGGGAGCGGAGCGCTTTCCTCAGTCCAGCCGATCTAACTCTTAAAGGCCCAGGACACTGGTCAAGTGAGGAGTTGTGGGGGTGGGGAGGCAGAAAAGGATTAAGGGAATGGATTGAGGTTGACAGGCAACACGTCTCCAGGGAGAAGGAGCCTGGCTGTCTTTTATCTTGTTGCCTCCCTACCGGTACCCCTTACTGACTGACCCCAATCCCGCAAGTGAAACCCAAGGCCGTCTATTGCAGCTTTGAGAATCACGGCTTTTCATTTTGGCCAGCGTCTGTGTGGAACACCACTGTCTTTGCCCTCATTTCCTCTGGCTGCTTTCCACAGCGCCTCTTTCTGCCAGCTTGCTCCTCTGTTTCTGCATCCTGTCTTGCAGGGCAATCAGTCTAAGTGTGTAAAGATACAGGAACAGGGCAAGGCAGGGAGAAGGGAAGAGATCAATTTGAAAGACAGTTTCTACGCACTTGTTACACGGATCAGATCATTTATATGATGGGTTATTTTGTTTTGTTGGGGAAGGCTTTTTTTTTTCTTAGACTAATCTTGAACTTGATCTGTACTTGAACTTGACTACGGGTAGCCGGGGATGACCTTGGACTCTAGATCGTCCTGCTCCCACCTCTTGAGTGCCGAGATTCATGCATGGACCACTATGTCCAGTTTAAGGGGTAAAGAAGATGAAACTCAGGTCTTCTCAGATACTGTGCAAGCACTGTGCTGACTGAACGACATCCTCAGGCCCCTCTTTCCTTTTGTAATCATTTATTCAATGCCAGGGTATTTATTTATTTTTGAGATGGGAGTCTTGCTATTTAGCCAAGCTGGCCTTGAACTCACAACCCCCCTGCCTTACTGTTAGGATTATGGGCAAGAGCCACCATGCCTGGCCACACATAACAAAGGTATAAAAATGAAGCAAGGTATTAAGGAAGCCCACACCCATGTGCCTATATATATATATTTTTTTTTTGCTTTTCAAGATAGGGTTGCTCTGTGTAACAGCCCTGGCTGCCCTGGAAGACACTTTGTAGATCAGGCTGGCCTCGAATTCACAGAGATCCGCCTGACTCTGCCTGGGATTAAAGGTGTGCACCACCACCGCCTGGCCCAGGTATCTTTCTTACTGAGCACCTTTCTATTTTGTACTTAAAAATCACTGTTGAAAACATTTCTTAATTATGAAGTCCAACTTTGCTAAAAACAAGACAAAGAACAGTAAAGTGGAGCTGGGAGGATACTCATAAAGGAGCAAGCTCCTTCCGAAGACAGATAATAGCTAGCTGGCACATAAATCAAGATGGGGGAAAGGGAACCAGATTAGGTGGGGATGTTATACTTCATGGATGAAAACTAAGGTCCTGGAAGTTTCTAGATGACGTGTTGGCGCACTGAAGACAAGCTGGCCCTCGCACATCCCCAAGCACTGCAGCTAGGCTCCGCTTTCGCCTTGCCTTGGGAAGACTGTGACATGTGGTTTTCTGGACCAGCTGTTGGCAGGTAAGGCAGCTATGTGCACAGGACACATATATGGAACTCCTATGAGGTTCCTTTTCAGTGGTGTATTTTAGTCACGGGCACAGAGGGAGCTGGCTTCGTGAAATGGCATGATTTTTAGTGTACGGAGTTCTGACTGCCTCTCCTAGTTCCCTCAAATACCTCTCAACTGCCTAAGAGCCTGCCATTAGTGGTTATTTATAGCTAAATTTTAAGTTCCATCAAAATGTTCCCTTCTAAGTGATGACTATGAAAGCCAGGATGTCGATTACTTTAGGAAAGAGCTGTGGCAGAATGGATGCATAGCTGGGCAAGGTCTATTCTTAGTCCTGAGTACGAACAGGAGTCTTCATTATAATAATTCACTCAGCCCTTTCTTTTCTTTTTGTAGTTCTATATTGCTTCTATTATATTTTACCATGAAAGAAATTTAAACTTCGGCGATTAATTTCTTTTTTTTGTGAAATGGGAATCTCTTTATGTTGCTCCGGCTGGTCTTGAATGAACTTGTGGTCTCTGGTGGGCCCCCCCACCCTCATCTCAGCCTTTAAAAAAGCTAGGACAAGGCACGTAGGAACATCGGTGCCTCCTTGCAATCTCTGAAGCCTTAGTAGTTTTACTTGATTTATCCAGATAATGGATTGACTATTGGTTTATTTATTTATTTATTTATTTATTTTACTGACAGCAGGCAGGTTTGTTTGTGGCCATTTGTTTTGTTTTGTTTTTGAGAAAGGAACTTACTTTGTAGACCAAGCTAGCCTTGAACTCAGACAGCCACCTGCCTCTGCCTCCCAAAGTGCTAGGATTAAAGGCGTGCGCCACCGCCACCCCAATCTTTTTATAGATAGGACTGATTGTAGTGTAGTCAAGGCTGTCCTCGAACTTAATATGTAGCTGGGGATGACTTTGAACTCCAGAACCTCCTGCTTCCACCCCCAAGTGCTCCGACTGTAGGCACGTACCGCTCTCCTTGTTTGAGAATAGGCTTTGGTAGCCGGAAGCATAGTCCAAAGGGAAGGTAGACATTAAAAGGGAAGTTGTTCTTGGGGAGTAGGAAAAGTAAGGACATCAAAATTAAACCACCAATTTTAGATTTGACATTTGACTTAGCAGAGGTTCCATCACAGTGTGACACACTTGTCCTGCTCTCCCAGTCCCACTTGCCTGCCATTATAATCTTCTCCTTTCACAATCCCCCTCTTCCACATAATTCCTCCTGTTACCCCAGGTCCATATACCTTTTGCCTCTTTCTCATCAGCTCAATGTTACCCCAGCTCCTGGGTGATGTAGGAAAAAGGGTGTTACCACGACTAGATTTCCTGGGAGACAGCAGGTTCCAAATATTCTCCTCCTGTGTTCTCGTCAACACAGCCCTACTTCTTAGCCTTCTCAGCCTCTGGGTTTTGATTTGGGGGTTGAGTATGTAAGTGATTTCAGTTAGCTCCTGAAAATGCTGGGAAGGAGCTTGGTGAGAGATGGCTCAGTGGAGAAAGGCACTTTCTGCCAAGCCCGACTACTTTTTTCTTTTCTTCTGTTGTTGTTTTTCAAGACAGGGTCTCTCTATGTAAAAGCTCTGGCTGTTCTGGAACTCTCTTTGTAGACCAGGCTGGTCTCGAACTCACAGAGATCTGCCTACTTTTGCCTCCCGAGCCCTGGGTTTAAAGGTGTGCGCCACCACCGCCTACTTTAACCACTTGTATTTGCTATCCAAGACCCATATGGTGGTAGGTGGGAACTAATTTCTAAAGTTGATTTCAGACCTACACACACACACACACACACACACACACACACACACACACCTAAATGGATAAATGCAAAATAAATAGAAAGAGTTCTTGGATGGTAGCTCTTGGAGAGAGCATGGGACTTTGTATAGATCCAGAAGGAAGCAGACGGGGCTTTGGCACAGGAACTGTCCAGCTGCTTTGGTAATTCCCATGTCTGCAAAGATCCTGGCCCTTCCCCCACACTTGTCTATTATTAACAGATCCAGAAACCTGATCGGGGCAGCTGTAGAGGGACTTTCTGGGAACCATGCCCAGGAAAGGCCTAGAAGCCCTAAATTGAAATGAAGTAGCAGGTGGCAGAGGGAGACCCAAACATCATACCCTTAGTCTTCCATCTATGTCTGCCTGAATTCCCCTCTTGGCACTCGGGGCCAAGACTACCATACCTAAACATGTCTACTGCTTGAGACATTCAGGTTGGGGAATCTGAGTCTCCTTCCCCAATCTCCTCAACTGAACTCCAATTTCTAAGATAAAGCATCTGTTTGTACTCAAAAGATAACTCGAGATATTAGATCGCAGGGTTGGGGAGATGGCTCAGTCAGTAGCGTGCTCACTGGGAAAGCATGAGGAATTCAGAATGCCAGAATCCACAAAAAAAGCCAGACTGAGGAACAGGTCTGCAACTTCAGTGCCAGGGAGACCCGGTGATCTCTGTGGCTTGCTGGTCAGCTAGTCAGTCCATCCAAATCAGTGGGCTCTAGGATCCGTGAGAAACCTATCTTAAAACAAAACAAAAAACAGGTGGAGGGCTGGAGAGATGGCTCAGCCGTTAAAGGCTAGGCTCACAACCATAAATATAAAGAGTTCGGTTCCCAGCACCCACGGCTGTCTCTCCAGCCAATTTAAAAAAAGAAAAAGAAAAGAAAAAAAAAAACAGGTGGAGTCTGGGCAAGGGCTCTAGGATAAAGCACTTGCCTTAAAAGCTGGCGACCTGAGTTTGAATCCCCAGAACTCATGTATAATTTGGTAAAGTAGTGAGTATTTAATCCAGTGCTTCATTGGTGAGATGGGGGTGGAGGGAGAATCCGCAGACGCTCATGGGCCCAGCTAGCCTGGTGTACACAGAAGCAAACAACAACAAAGATGTGTCTTAAAAAGCTGGCTGGTGAGAATGGACACCAGAGATCGTTCTCTCCCCTTCACACCTGTGCTTACACTCACATACATGACTCTGCACGTGCGCATGCGTGCACACACACACACACACAAATACACACACACACAGGGGGAGGGTTGGGAAGCGGTACCATCGGTACCATCGGTAAAGTGCTGTTAATGAGGACCTGCATCCACATCCCCTAGAGCCCATGGGAAAGCAGACATGCTAGCCCACCTTGTAAGCCTACAGCCGTGGAAGCAGAAGACAGCAGATTCTTGGTTTAGTGAGAGGCTGTCTCAAAGGACAAGGTGGGACTGGCCAAATGGCTCTGGAGTCACCTAGAAACCTACACAGCAGAAGGAGAGAATCAATGTCCACCATTGCCGCATGTGTCCATATACATCCTCACAGACACACATGCGTCATTTTTTAAAAACTGTGGTGGAGAGAGCTTGAGGAAGGCATGCAATATTGACCTCTGACTCCCATCTGCAAACCTGATGTACAAATGGGTGTGTGTACCTGAGTGCCACACATTGGGGGGGGGGGGGGAGACTGAGATTCCATCTGAGAAATCGCTGTGAAGACTACCTACCTGTAAAAACCAGTATACATAATTCAGAAGACCAAAGAGTTTACAACTGCTCCTCTACTCTAGCAAAACTGTCTCGGCACTATCATTTTATTACGTGGAGGGTGGGAAGCTGCAGGAGGTATGAAAGATAAAAATCCCAGGGCCCCAGATGGTAGCTAGTAAAATAAACAGTATGTGGTATAAGATTCCAAACTGATCCAAAA